TATTTGTGCGCGCTGCACAAGTCGGACTCAAACCTAAATATTAAACATGGTCCTTTTGAGGCCTTAAGAAACGAAGTGGCACCAAAAAACTCAAAAAAGAATAAAGAAACACAGCTCTGGGCGGCCTCTTGGGCATATTACAAAATTGACTCAAGTCAGTAGCGAGCGAGAAACCACAAAGCGCGGACGGTAAGAAAGGTCAGTGAGCGAAAAAAAAAAACAATCGGGGAAATCAAAAAAAAAAAAGACATTTAATTTGCGAAAAAAAAAACAATTAAACGCGAGTGAAAAAGTTAAATCAAACAAACAAACGACACAAATAACAAAATTAAAGACGAGCACCAATTTTGTTAAAAACAATATTTTAAAAGTCGCGAGCAGCATACCTGCAGCAACAACATATTTACTTGCGGTACCAAGGCATATTAAACAGTGGTGAAATTACAAAAAACCAAAATAAAAAATTATTTTTCAAAAGTTGGTAAATTAAAACAATTAAACGAAAACGACAAAGATTTAGCATCAAATAGTGCTCTTGTGGAAAAGAGAAAAAGTTTGAAAATTGTGCAAATTAAAACTACAAAATTTAAAACGATACAATTGTGAGATTGTGAGCAACAAATTTTTTAAGCGTTGCGAGCAGCATACCTGCAACAGCAACAAATTCTAATCGTTGCGAGCAGCATACCTGCAACAGCAACAAAATTTTAGACGTTGCGAGCAGCAGACCTGCAACAACAACACATTTTCAAGCGTTGCGACCGCCAGCAGTATACCTGCACTTAACGGAGAAGCGGTGCAAACGCCCTACTGGAGCATCAAAGGCGTAAGCGGTGCGACCCCAGCACTACCAACAATTTCACTACAAACCGGACATAACCCCTACCCGAAGAGGCGGAACGGAAAATTAATACGACCGGCTAAGTAAAAACACCCATGGCTGAGTAAGTCCGTATATTTCATGTGTATATGTATATAAATATATTGCGGTAGCCCGGTAATTATTCAAAAGAAAAGGAGACCTAGTTTTCCAACCCCCGTTACTTCGAAAGAAGACAAGTTTTTTCAAACACCCCGTTAATCTCGAAAATTCCAGTTGCGCCTTGTTGAATTTAAAACCTATGCATATACATATATGTATATATATGTTTATATGTACATATGTATGTATGCACATAGTAACAGCAAATTAGCTAGCATCTTTGACTTTGCTAAAGTCGTACAGTAAAAGTCCTGTTATTTGCACCCAGCTCTGCCGAAATTACAGCAGATTCTTATATTCACGACATAAATTTGTACATAGTTACTTACATATAGATATTTTAATTTACATATGTATGTAGGCAAATATATCAGGCGGTAACCAAAACCAGCGAAAAATAGTTGAGCGCAACTGTTTTTCATGTGTACATACATATGTACATGCATACAACTCCCACTCACTGTTTCTGAGGACGTTTGACTCATTGTTCTGAAGCTAGCAAATTCGCAGCGTTAGCAAACATATTCTCATAATTGCCTATCTTCTCTATTCTCGCTCTATATCAGTGCCCCATGTAACTAGCTCATGTGCGTACTGACTCTTAAGCGCAATATCAATTACACTCAATATTCAAATAAAATAAAAAGGGCGGAGCTTATCTGTACAGTGGGCCGCTGCTGACCATAAATTGCACTATAGTACAGTGGTACGAAAATCAAGTAATTCAACCCAAAATTAACACCCACATCACCCACTAAATAAAATAAAACGCAAAGAAGCGGATTAAGGCCAATATATATATTTATAAAAAAAAAAAAAAAAAGAATAGTCGAGCGCGACTGTACCGCGTTGTAGCTGTATATAATCGCATACGCTAATCTCCCACTCATTGTTATATCCTAATTCGCATATTTAACTCACACCATATGTACATGTTTCTGACCCTTTAATCCAGCCGTCTTTTCATATTGAGTGTACCCGCAACTTGCTCACACTCTAATATACGCATACACTCAATATTAATTACACTCAATTTTAAATAATATAAACAAAAAGGCGGAGCTTATTGGCACAGTGGGCCGGAGCTGACAAAATATCTCACTTGAGTACAGTAGTACAAAACTGAACGATTTTTACAACAAAACCCAACCCCAAAAAGAAAGCGAATTTAAAATTAAGTCACCGTTTTTTTAAACCGTAGAATATCTACTCATACCCACCCCCTAAAATATTTCGGTTTAAATTATAAACTCACTCTACGCATTTAATAAAATTTCGCCCAACAAAATGCCGCAAGATAAAGATACCCCTACTGAAAAAACCAAAAAAAATAACTGTCTCCAAAAATTTATTTTCGAAAGCAATAGGCTGGAGATTTTTTGTTCAAAATGGTCACCGTCCTTAGCCACTGATCAAACCGAAACCTTACTTGAGGTCAAAATCCAACAACTGGACAGCAACTGGGATAGCCTTTTAAAAGCTTACGAAGCAATATTCATGGACGATGATCACCCAGAAGTCAGTGGCTCGGTAGAACAAAAATACTGCAAATGCTCGGAGAGCTACCAAACCTGCAAGTCCCAAATGTTGGAAGCGTTACAACTTTTTAGAGTTAATACGACCCCTCAAGCTACCCAGCAAACATTCAACACGACTTTTACCCCAAACCCTTCTGCCTCCAACGAGGTTTATCTCAAGGTACCACCGTGCGACACAGAAGTATTCCACGAGACATGTTTACGGCAGTCTATATAAAACACCCCAAATTAACCCCCGCTCAAAAGTTGTACCATTTGCGATATAAGACAAAGGGACAAGCAGGACTTATTGTAAAACAATACCCTCCTACCGACGAAAACTTTGCGCATGCATGGGAAGCTTTAAAATCACGTTACGAAAACCCAAGAATTCTAGTAGATAACCAACTCAAAACCCTACTAAATTTGCAGCCCGTTTACGGAGAAAGTGGCGAGCAATTACAAAGGCTACAAACAACAATTAATAATTGCCTCTCCACTCTTGCATCACAAAAAATTTCTACGAAGGACTGGGATCCCATTCTTGTGTACTTGTGTTCATCGAAACTACCAAGTGAGACACTTTCCCTGTGGGAGCAATCCCTCAGCTCTCGGAAAGAGTTGCCACTATGGTCAGAGATGAACAAATTCCTCACTTGCAGGTACGAAGTGGTTGAACGGCTTGGTACGTATCGACCGACTAAACCCAAACCACAGTTTACCCCCTTCAACCCTAGAGCTGGCAGTCACAGCTCCACATTTATTAATAAAAATCGCACCCAAAACTTCCACGTAGATTCCGGGAAACCAGTTTCATGCAAGCTGTGCAACTCCAATCACGCAATGAAACTTTGCGTTAGATTCAAGAATCTCTCTGTACCTGATCGTCTCAAATTCGTACGTGAGCACAAGTATTGTGAAAACTTCCTCTCTTGTTCACACTTAAAAGGTCAATGTCAGAGCAAATTTACCTGTGTATACTGCCAACAACGTCATCACTCATTACTCCATTTTCAAGCAAACCAGCAAAACTCGAAACCCAACCCAAAACCCCAATCATCGACGACGCAGGCAACAACCACAGTGGAAATAGCAGACGACATGCCCTCCACGTCAACAGGAATCATTCACACCCCACCAACCCACAAAAAAGCAGTCAACAAAGTTTCAACTCACTTCTCGTGCAGCAAAGGAACCACCCTATTACCCACAGCGATGGTACCAATTTACTTCGCGGGAGAATATCACCGGATCCGAGCAATGATAGACCAAGGCTCACAAAAAACCTTTGTCACGTCTCGGATCCAAAAAATATTAAATTTACCCACCAAAGAAACCCATTATGAAATATCGGGAATGGGAGGGCTAGTGGTCCAAAACTCGAAAAATGTTTGCGAGTTAACCCTTTGTTCTGCGGACTTAAAGCAAAAAATTCAAACCCAGGCAATTATTTTACCCCACCTGACCCATTTTCTACCCAGTCTCATGGTGTCATACGTAAACCTTCCAGAATTAGCAACTTTAACTTTAGCAGACCCTAATTGTTTCACTCCATCTCGAATCGATATGGTCATTGGGAGCGACGTTATTCCCCAAATTCTCACACAAGGACTATATCATGTTGCAGACGGCACACTCCTGGCGCAGAACACGATATTCGGATGGATAATTAGCGGACCAATAGCTGAAAAGGTGACGTCATTCACAACCCAAGTCATGGAACCCTCGAACGTTGCTCTCAATACGCTATTGAAGAAATTCTGGGAGCAGGACAGCAAGACCACAAAAGTTCGCGTTGTATTCAATGCCTCCAAAATGTCCCATTCTGGTCACTCTTTAAATGATGTGCTACACACAGGCCCCGTACTTCAGAACGACTTAATGGTAGTGATATTAAATTGGCGACTCTATAAGTTTGTGTTTAACGGTGACATTGAGAAAATGTACCGCTAAATACTCGTTGACGAAGAAGACCAAGATTTTCAACGAATTCTATTTCGAAGAACCCCAAGCTCGCCGATTCAAGACTTTAAACTCAAAACAGTCACCTTTGGAGTTAACTGCGCCCCTTATTTAGCAATTAGGACTCTCCATCAGTTAGCAGAAGACTCAAAGAGCTCATTTCCTCTCGCCCATAATATTTTACTACGAGAAACCTACGTAGACGACATACTGTCGGGGGGCCACGATATACAGTCCACTTTTAAATCGATGTCACAAGTGATGGATGCTTTAAGGTCAGCAGGATTTCCTTTACGGAAAATTACAGCAAATCACCCCAGCTTACTTAAATCAGTCCCCGATTCTGCTCTGTTAGACGTAGATTTCTTAAAGTTTCAAGACGCAAGTTCTACAAAAACCCTAGGAATACAATGGAACGCTCTGACTGACACCTTTTCCTACTCTCATGACCCCATTCCTGCTGAGAACTCAAAAACTAAGAGACAAATTCTGTCAGCGGTAGCGAAACTGTTCGACCCGGCAGGATGGCTATCGCCAATAATGGTCATGGCGAAAATCCTCCTCCAACAACTCTGGATGGAAGGGACCGGGTGGGATGAAGCGGTAAAACCAGGCTCTCTAACAAAATGGAACTCATTCCGAGAAAGCCTTCCAGCAATAGAAGACATAAAAATACCCAGGTGGGTGCAGTTCACGCCAAAGCAGTACATTGAATTGCATGGATTTTCGGACGCCTCCGAAAAGGCATTCTGTGCCTGCGTCTACATAAGAGTCCAACTCGGCGAAAACTCGTTCGCGTCCTCACTACTTGCCGCAAAAAGCAAGGTTGCACCCCTTCAGACCGTAAGTCTGCCCCGCTTGGAACTCTGCGGAGCTGTTTTATGCTTGAAATACAATACCGGCGAACGGCAAACTTCGCCGAATTGGGCGATGCTGTCGTTCACCGTTCGCCCAACTATTTCGCCTACTTAAACAGAATTAGAGCGGTAGCGAAAACAGCTGATCCCATTTGGTCGCCTTTATAATTTGGGTGACCATATTTAGAAAAAACTAAACCATATTTAGAAATGAGGAAATGATAACAAATATAAATGTAAAACAAAGAAAGATTATTATAAATAATTTGTTTCAAGCCAGATTTAACGAATCCACAACTATATTTTTCAAACAACAAAAAAAAAATCGTGTTTAGGTTGTTTTCTTTTTAAACTTTGAAAGCACAAAACAAATACGGCCACCTTTGGCACGCACAGCTGTCATCGCCCAGCAGAGCGATAGAAATAAATCTATCGCCATGAAACGCCGCCAAGCGAACTTCGCATTTCGCTTTGGCTGTGTTCAATTTCATATGCTTGCGGGTGTTCTAATTTTGACAGCGCGAATTTCGCTGTGGTGAGTTCGCCGTTCGCCGGCATTGTATTTCAGCTATTACTCTCAAAACTGAGTAAGCAAATTCGATCCGAACTCAATCTGCCCGCTCATGAGTTAATCCTTTGGACAGATTCCGCGATCGTGCCTGGATGGAGAAGCCTCCACATACGTGGAAAACATATGTGGCTAACAGAACTTCCCAAATTGTGGAAAATGTAAATAATGCCCCTTGGCGCCACGTTCCCAGTCACGACAACCCTGCCGATTTAGGCACCCGGGGGTGCAAACCTCAAGATCTTGCCGCAAGCACTCTCTGGTGGAAAGGTCCAGCCTGGCTATGCAAGGCCCACACACACTGGCCGTCTAACACCAGAGCTTCAACTATTAACCCTCCAGAGGAGAGACGACTCGAAGTTTTTCATACCCTAGACAGCACGGATATACTCGAAAGATTCTCTTCTTTCCCACGCGCCCTCAGAGTCATTGCGTACATGTATCGCTTCATAAACCATACCAAAGGGCTACTCATCTCCAACGTGCTTATATTATCCCAGGAGGAACTCAATCAAGTGAAGTACAAGCTGATAGCAAAAACGCAACGAAATCATTACGGAGAAGCGATATCGTTACTTGAGTCCTCGAAGTCACTCAGCAAGAAGAGCCCTCTGCTCACCCTCAATCCGATGCTCGGCCTGCATTCATAATGCGTGTAAATGGACGCCTTAAATATGCCGCACTAAGCTACAATGAGAGGCATCCTATAATAATACCCGATAACTCCATATTTTGCTCTCTTCTCCTAGATTTTCTACACACAACATTGCTTCATGCTGAGAAACAACTCATGATCCGGATGATACAACAGGAATACTTCATCCCACGCCTGAAGCAGAAGGTCAAAAAGTGCATTTTTCACTGCAAACCATGCACGATATACAAACAGCGGATGAAATCCCAAATAATGGCTGCATTACCCCCTGAAAGAACCACCTTTACTCTCCCGTTTCACACTACTGGCGTTGACTTTGCAGGCCCATTCCTCATCAAAACGTCACCTCTTCGAAAAGCGTCGTACACAAAGGCATATGTATGCGTTTTTGTGTGTTTTTCTACCAAGGCCATTCATTTAGAATTGTGTTCCGACTTGACTACGGAAGCGTTCAAAGCGGCTTTTACCCGATTCACTGGCCGTCGTGGCCTGCCGCACAAGATTTTATCGGACAACGGAAAGACGTTTGTGGGAGCACAGCGAGCCCTAAAAAAGGACTTCGCTCTTTTCTTAAAGGAAGCGGCCTCTGATATCGCAGAAACATATGCGTTGCATGGATTCTCCTGGCACTTCATCCCACCATATGCCCCTCATATGGGTGGCCTTTGGGAGGCGGCCGTTAAAAGTTTTAAAACGCATTTCACCAAAGTTGCCGGAAATCAAAAATTCTCTTTCGAAGAGTTCGCAACCCTATTAGTTCGAATTGAAGCGGTTCTAAACTCCAGACCTCTCTCTCCCATGACACAGGACCCGCAAGATTTATTGGCACTTACTCCCGGGCATTTTCTACGAGGAGCTCCCATTGTCTCACCACCGGAACCGGATGCCAAAGAACTTTCACTCATAAATAAGTGGCAGAGACTCAAGGTTCTTCATCATCAGTTCAGCGTACGATGGAAGAACGAGTATCTACACGACTTACAACGGCGATGCAAGTGGAAAACTTCCCAAAAAAACGTTCAAGAAGGAGATTTGGTTGTTGTTAAAGAAGACTGGCTCCCTCCGACCGAGTGGCGACTGGGTCGCATCACACACTTGCATCCCGGCCCCGATGAAAACATTCGGGTTGTAGATATAAAAACCCAGCAGGGAATCATAACTCGAAACATACATAAATTGTGTGTGCTTCCCCCTGCCTGACGTTAGGATACTCACCAAACCCGACACAATACTCTAATTAAATTTATGCTACCTATCCTACCCAACTCCCATTGTTCTACCCGTAGAATATATAACCCATGCGTATATGTACTTCTACTCATTACAAAGCCTCACAATATACGCTGACCCAGTACTAAAGTCTCTCCTCAATCCGTATATTTACAGGTCACGAAAGGATTCCCCCAAGTGCCGACTGTGTGGCCGACTCCACCCGCTGCGCTTGTGTACCGCTTTCCGCGCTATGGATGCCCACGACCGCTATGAGTGTGCACGCTTGCACAAATATTGTGTGAACTGTTTGGCGACTTCACACTCCACCGGAGCCTGCGATTCCGAGGACAGCTGCCATCGATGTGGCTTAGGGCACCACACCCTACTCCATAGAGAGAAGCGGGGCACCACGCGCCAGAAGAAGGGAAGTGTTAGGGCCGAGCTACACAGCCGTTCTGCTCAGCAACGGGCTCGGAGGTTGCGGCGACTGATTGCTGAAGCCCGAAACATCATGGACAAACTCGAAAGGGAGCTGCTGCACTTGGCACCGAGGCAGGCGGGGCGCCATGTTGGAGACATGAGCCCTTAACCCTTTGATTCGTGCCCATTTTAAT